GCACCACGCCAGCCCCTGCCCCCCCAAGACCCCCCTCCGAGCGCCGCACCGCCGAATCCAAAAAAAAAATGAGCGCCGCCCTGTCCTAGGTCTCTTCGGCTTGAGCTAAAGGACCAAGTGAGTTAGCTGAGGCAGCAGCAGACTCAAATCTAGCTACTAGAGGGCCAGAGAGACATCTAGCCACTAGAGCAGGGGCGGGCAAACTTTTTGGCCTGAGGGCCCCATTAGGTTTCGGAAATTGTATAGAGGGACGGTTAGGGGAGGCTCCCACCCCGGGACTCCTGCCCCCATCCACCCCCCCGCTCCCTTTCCCCTGACCGCCCCTGGAACCCCCGCCCCTGACTGCCCCCATCACCCCATCCAACCCGGGCTCTGTAGCTGCGCTGCCCCAGGAGCTTGCAGCCCCGCTGCCCAGAGCGTTGCGCCAGTGGCGGGGCGAGCTGAGGCTGCGGGGGAGGGGGAACAGCAGGGGAGGGGCTGCAGGCGAGTCTCCCAGGGTGGAGGGTCCTGCGGGCCGGATGTGGCCCTCGGTCCGTAGTTTGCCCACCTCTGCACTAGAGGGCCAGAGAGACATCTGTGTAAGCATGGATTACACCAGCTTTCCTAGATTGCCTTGTCAATGTGCTTCAAACTTGATCTGAAATGACTACCCCCTGGAATGAGAGAGAAGTTGAGTTTCGATGGACCATTCCCATCAAAAGGAACGTTACGCAGATTTAATCTTTATTGAAAGAGACGTGTATTGGACAGGAGTCCAATGGACCTGCTATTACTTCTTCTAGACTCCAAGAAACAGAAACTTTTAAGGAAAATTTCACACTTGCCTCCTGTAACTGGGACTCTTTCTTCTTAGACGATAAATGCAAATGGCGGTCCAGCATGGAATAAAACTTCTCGCCGTCCTTCTCAAACTTTTTCTTCCTTTCCTAGAGATTGAAGAGTTGACACAGAACTGGATGGTGAGAATTAGTTTGGCCTCTTTAGGTAGGAACAATGCAACAGTGTCAAAATTCATTGTACAATATAATACTATCATGAAAAAAAATGATGGGCCCATCAAAGTCGGGGGCCACCTTATATTTTCCATGTCTATTTCTTCTTTCTCCAGCCAGTTCCATACACTGCTCTCAAATACACACAGTAACAGCTCTGGCAATACTTCACAGTACAGACACATTCAATATTTTCTATTATCATCAGCACAGCATAAGGCAGCCCTGCTGGAGAGGTTTCTTTCAATGAGCTTCCAACTTGTCAACTTTTTTGCTTTTAACTTGAAACTTATTAATGAGAGAAAACAAATATACACTGTTTGCGGATATTTTACTCATCTACAGATCAAACAAAAACTGGCTAAATGCTTTAATACCAAAGACACACCCAGAACAATTAAAGATTTATTAGGATTTCAGTGTTTTCCAGGTTTTGAAGCTTTTTGTAAGTATTTGCATTCTAAGCTGTATCAAAGCTGAAGCAAAAGATTAAATAACGGTTGGAAAGGGCTAACACAGGCCTTTGATTTCACTGTATATTTACTGTCTTTGTTGGAATCAGAGATTGTCAGCCTTGCCTTTAATAGCATATGTTAGTCACACTGTCTGAGTAGACCAGTTCAGAGGAGTGTTACAGCAAAAAAAAAAAAAATGACATCCATGTTGTCATGGTTATTGTGGGATCCTCAAAATCCTACTGGGAGTTTCATATACGTTGCCCATATCTTCTTATTGATCACTATTATATATTAAACACACACACATATTGGTCAAGAAAGAAACCTTGACTGTGCATGAACTTAACAAATTTCAGAGTGGTAGCCGTGTTAGTCAGTATCAGCAAAAAAAAATCAAGTACTTGTGGCACCTTAGAGACTAACAAATTTATTTGGGCATAAGCTTTTGTGGGCTAAAACCCCCTTCATCGGATGCATGCAGTGGAAAATACAGTAGGAAGACATATATACACAGAGAACATGAAAAAATGGGTATTGCCATACCAATTAAGGTGGGTAATAGCCCACCTTAATTGATTAGTCTTGTTACAGTTGGTATGGCAACACCCATTTTTTCATGTTCTCTGTGTGTATATATCTTC